CCGGGGCTGGTTCCCGTTCTTGCTGTGAGGAGGTTCAGGTTGGACATTCAGGGCTGTGTGTGAGTGCTGGGTGGGTGGCCTCTTGGTGTCTGAGGCTGACGCCTGTGCGCCCAAGCCCAGGTGTAGCCCTGTCCCTTTGGCCCTCAGCGTTCCTTGCCTCGGGGCAGCTGGCTGGCCTCATGCTGTCTTTTGGGAGCCGCATGCAGAGGGGGCCACTCCTGGGCTCAGTGCAGCCCCTCCGCAGGCCCTTCTGGCCTCTCATCTCTTGTTGGGGGAGGGTTCCCTCGGGAAGCAAAGCAGAAGCAGGAACTTTGGGGCGACCTGAGCCTGTCCCATCATCAGCCCGCCCAACTCCTCACAAGCTCCTGACTCTACTCACGCCATCCTGCCGGCTCTGCCCTCCCAGCAGGCTCCATGGCTGCAGCCAGCTTTGTCCTTCCAGCTTGGGGTTTCATGTCCCTGGACAGAGCAGCATGTCTCGTGGCTGCGGCTGCTCCTGCACCATCCATGGCCTGACCAGACCTGCCCCCTTCACACAGGATACCTGAAAGAGCAGGACAAGGGGGCTGCCGTGTGTCTGGGCTTGGGGTGCCCTCCAGCCCTTTGTGGCCTCCCTAATGGCTGACCGGGGGTGGCAGAACATGGCAAGAACTAACTTGGGTTCAATGCTGGAGTCGACCTCAGCGGAGGCGGGAGGTGGCGACTGCCCACTAAGCGTCTAGCAGGCCAGTGGGCGATGGGGGCCTCCCCTTGGGCAGTGGATGGGGAGGGGTGAGAGCTCAGCCAGGCAGGTGGGTTCAGGGCAGATGTGAGGAGCCCCCCTTAGTTCAACCTCAAACGCCCCACAACAACCTCCTGTAGGCCCTGCTCTGTAATGTGTCTTCCCCCTTTTTGTATTTATGGTGATGTGATCACGGCTCACTGCAACCCCAACATCATGGGCTCCAGTGATCTTCCCACGGCCTCCCAGTGCGGCGATCGTGGGCGTGAGACCCTGCACTTGGTTCTGTGCTCAAATTTAAACATAATCTGCAGCTGAGCGTGGTGCCTCGTGTGAACCTGTAAGCACTTTGGGAGGCAGAGGTGGGCAGATCACCTGAGGTAAGGATTTCAAGACAAGCCTGGCCAACACGCTGAGACCCCATCTGTACTTTTAAAGACAAAAAAATTAGCCTAGCTGGGCATGGTTACGTGCGCCTATGATTCCAGCTATTTGAGAGGCTGAGGCAGGTGAGTCACTTGAACCCAGGAGGCAGAGATGACACTCTAGCCTGGGTGAGAAGAGTGAGACTCTTGTCTCAGAAAAACAAAAAAAGGAGCAGGTGTGGTGGATCACCTGAGGTCAGGAGTTAGCGCAGACCAGCCTGACCAACATGATGCAACCCCTTCATTAAAAAAGTTAGATACAATATGCTGATGTTGTTACTTCTCAATTTGGAATCAAGTTACATCACATAGAAAGTGTGGGTCACTGTTTTGATCTGATTGGGAAAGAGGTGGGTGGAACAGCTCATAAGCTTGGGTCCACTGCAGCTGGAGACCCTCACCCCGCATACAGAGTTCGGGGGGTACTGGGAGCACCTGTGACCTACCTGGCTGGTGCAGAGGGGCCCGCCACTGGGGCACTGCGCTGCGCCTGGCCGTGGCTCTCGAGCCCTACCCTGCACTGCACGCATTGGCGGGCCCCGCCAGGAAGTACGGAGGCTGGGGAGGCCACTTGAGGGCCTGGACCTTGCTGGGTAGTCAGAAGTGGAGGCGAGTCTTGCTGGCAGCACCTGAGAGATACATGGAATATTTGAAAATTCGCCTGTGGGCTGCCCTGAACCCACCTGGGCTTCAAATGAACCCTCAAGACTTTGGAGGGTGGTTTAGCCGCTTGGTGCAGCCTTAGGCAGGGCAGTGGAAAAGCCCCTCAGGATTAGGACTGTCCAGAGGGCTCTGGGCAGCCTGGCCGGGTTCACTTCAGCCTCACAGGCCCACCCCAGGTCCAGCTTCAGGAGATGGAGGGAACGCACGTGCAGGCAGGGTTCATTGTAGTCTCAGTTGTCAGCATTTGGAATTGTTTTTGTTTTTTGAGACTGGGTGTCACTGTGTCTCCCAGGATGGAGTGCAGTGGCACCATCTCAGCTGACTACAACCTCCGCCTCCCAGGTAAAAGTGATTCTTGTGCCGCAGCCTCCCCAGTAGTTGGGATTACAGGCATGTGCCACCACACCTGGCTAACTTCTGTATTTTTTTTTTTTTTTTTTTTTTTTTTTTTTTTTTTTTTTTTTTTTTGGGGGGACGGAGTTTCACTCTTGTTACCCAGGCTGGAGTGCAATGGCGCGATCTCGGCTCACCGCAACCTCCGCCTCCTGGGTTCAGGCAATTCTCCTGCCTCAGCCTCCTGAGTAGCTGGGATTACAGGCACGCGCCACCATGCCCAGCTGAATTTTTGTATTTGTAGTAGAGACGGGGTTTCACCATGTTGACCAGGATGGTCTCAATCTCTTGACCTCATGATCCACCCGCCTCGGCCTCCCAAAGTGCTGGGATTACAGGCTTGAGCCACCGCGCCCGGCCTAACTTCTGTATTTTTAGTAGAGACAAGATTTCACCGTGTTGGTCAGGCAGGTCTCGAACTCCGAATCTCAGATGGTCCGCCCACCTCGGCCTAGCAAAGTGCTGGGGTTACAGGCCTGAGCCTCCGTGCCTGGCCCAGAATTATTAAAAATGAAATTGTTGAGGTGTTAGGAACAGGTGTTTAAACCTCGTATACAGGAATGGATGCCATGCTCAAACGCAGCTTTATCTGAGCATTGGAAGTCAAACCGCGGTAGTGGTGCACCGGGGTGCCCAGTCTTCTCAAGGCCCCATTACCAGGCTGATCTGCAGAGCAAATGACATGTAGGTGAGATGTTTGGGGCCACGCCCGTCGCCATCCGGAGGCAGCCAGCTGGCAACAAGCCCCAGGCCCCTGCCTGAAGAAAGCGGAGTGGGACCCGGTTCAGGGCTTCATCTTGCTTTTGCAGAGCTTACGGGCACCCGGCTGTGTGCCCATTCATACCTATATTCTGAGAATTCACTGGCCCTTTAAGTTTCCTGTCCATAAATGCCCTCCCTGCACATGGCACGGCCTGGCCAGCACGTGTCTGCTCGGTCTTCAGGGGCGGGGTGGCTGCTGATGGCTACTTCCCTTGGTTTTCTGTAGCTGGAATCAGGGAAAATAAATTTTCGTATTTAAAGCAAAAAGATACTCTGCCATCTCAGACACAGGCACACCTTGGCAGCCAGGTGGTGCTCTAGGTCCACCGCATTTGGGGGGCATCCAGGAGTTGGGGTGGGAGCCTCCAACTGGCACTGGGGTGCCACTGCTGGGCACTGCTCCTAACGCAAGGCCCAGGCTCTGTCCTTAGGTTTCTCTGACCACATCTACGCTTTTTTGTGTGTCTTTGAGACAGTCTTGCTCTGTGGCCCAGGCTGGAGTGCAATGGCTCGATCTGGGCTTACTGCAATCTGCCTTCTGGGTTCAAGCGATTCTCCTGCCTCAGTCTCCCTAGTATTGGGGACTACAGGCGCGTGCCAAGATGACTAATTTTTTGTATTTTTAGTAGAGATGGGGTTTCACCATGTTGGCCAGGCTGGTCTTGAACTCCCGACCGCCAATGATCTACCCGTCTCAGCCTCCTGGGATTACAGGCGTGCACGCTTGTTTCTATCCTCTGATCCCACACCCCGCCCCAGAACCTGTATGGCCTCTCCCAGACCTGCCAGGTTCCATACATAACGTCCCAGGCAGCCCCGTCCTCATTGGGCACCGGTCTGGCCCTGGCACTGCCGGTCAGCTGCCTTCAGTCCCTGTCCTGGTTCCCGCCGCTTGGCACATGCCCGCGGCGTCCCGCCTGGACGGCACTTTACAGTGGACACGGCGCCCTCCCTTGACTTCTCAAGCAGGAGCCCTGCGTGACCCCGAAGCCTGCAGGCCCTGCCACGTCCCCGCCGGCAGCGTGGCTCCCTCCCAGCTTTCCGGGTTTCAGCTGAGGCACCTGCTGGAGGCGGCCTGCCCCGCCGCCCCCCTAAAGCAGCGCCCCTTTCTCCTTCCGCCGCTCGATCTTTGGTTTCCCGGGACTTAGCACGATTCACAACACGCCTCAGCTCCGTTGCAACCTGGCTGGGCCCCATCTTCCGACTCTGGACCCGCGCAGCCGCCAGTGGGCGCCCGTGAGCCTGGAGTCGGGCGCGGCCCTGCTCTGCCCACAGCCCATCTTCAGCAGGGCTCCCACCTTCCGCAGGGCCTGCGCGACCTGCCCGGGACCCTCCCTCCCTGCCCTCTCCCCCACGCCACCCAGGGCTGTTCGGCCTCCCCAGCAGCTCCCTACGCCCTGCCCGCCCCGCTGGCTTCTCTTCCCAGCCCGCTGCAGTCCTCGTTCTTGTTAGCTTCCCAAGGGCAGAGGTTTTGACTTTTGGTTCATTGCAGGGATCCCAGCACACAGCAGGTGCTTAATAAATGCTTGTTAAATGAATGTCTGCGTGCGGTGTCGCCCCCTTACGGCGCCCCCCCTTCGCCCAGCTCCGCTCTCGGCAAGCGATGTTTGCGCAGGTGATTGCTGAATGACTAATGAACTTCAGCGCGCCAGGCCGTGCTGATTCGGGGGTGGTCACGAGCTTCCGCAGGTCACGAGTGTCCGTGGGCAGTAGACCACAGTTGCAGGGCGCCACCGCCTCTGTCCCTCCGCGACCCCCATTCCCCGTGGGACCTCTCGTGCCCCGCCCCGACCGAGCCTCCGCCCGTCTCCTTCCGCCGCATTCGAACTCCCCAGCGCGGTCCGACCCGTTCCCTCGGGCCGCTCGGCCCATGCAAGTCCCCTCCCCTCTCTCCCGTTCCTGGATCTTCCGCAGCCTCGGTCCCGCGAGACTCCCAGCCCCCGAGCGCCTCCAGACCCCACGGGAAGCCCTCGCCCCTTTCGGGAGGAGCCCCGCCCCAGACGCACGGAGTGACCCCTCCCGCCCCTCTCCGCGCAGGCGCAGGGTAGACGGGGCCGCGGCCCGCACCCCCACCCGGGCGGCCGAGAGGCGGGGAGCGGCTGGTCCGGGGCGGCCGCGGCTCCATGGGGCTCCTGGGGCTCCTGAGCCTGCTGCACTCGGCCTTCTTCGGGGACCAGGTAGGGCGCGGGGGTCGGGCCGCTGGGGAGGGCTCCAGGTGGCGCGGGAACGGGGCGGGGTCCACACCGCGGGAACGCCGGGCGCGGCGGCGGGGGGCGCACGAGAGAGCGAGGGCTGCAGAGTCGGGGGTCTGGTGCAGTCGCCGTGGAGACGGTTGTCGGGGAGACCGCCTCGGGAGGTTGGCGGGGCTGGGAGCCCCTCTCTTGCGCCGCAGCGACCCCCCCCCACCCACCCCGGGTCTGCGCAAGCGCAGGGCTCGCCCAGCCCAGCCCTCGGCCTCAGCGGGAGACCCTCGGACCCCTCCTCACTGCGGCGACGCCGAGGCTGCGCCCGCTGGGTTGGCGCGGGCGGCTGCGGGGGCATCCTGCAGAGGTTGAGCCCTGCGCGGGGTGGGGGCGTGGGCCACGCCCTGCGCCTCTTTGGGCCTCAGTTTCCCCTTCTGGGCGCGAGCGTATGGCCTGCTTTGACGTTCGCCGCGGCTGCTGTTCGTATCCGTCCGTTCCCGACCCCAGCGCGTCAACAGCATCCGGAATCATTCCGCATCTGACGGCTGTGACATGCCCCATTGAAGGGGAAACTGAGGCTGGGAGTGCAGCGGGGAGCCCAAGGTCACGCCTCCAGCAGGGCTGGAGCCTCGTTGCGGAGCGGAGGCGCCCGCAGAGAACGCGGCGGCGGGGCCGGGGAGCTGTCCGTGGTGCTGACGGAGACTCACGTCTGCCGGCTCGCCGCCGGGGAAACTGAGGCCCACAGCGGCGATCAGGCTTCGAGGCGCGGCCTGGACCGGCCTGTCCCACCCCTCCCCCACCTCCAGTGGCCTCCTCACCGGTCAGGGCCCTGCCCGGCCACCCAGACCGCGACAGGCCTCTGTCCTCCCTCGATGACCTGGTGCCTTCAGGCCCCGCTCGGTCCCCACCCGGCTCCCAGTGGGGGCCTTCCCTATTTCTGCCCCCAGCCCCTGGCACAGAGGAGACATCAGGGGGCGGGAACAGCTCGAGGTCAGACTCAGAGGGCTCAAAGACACTCCAAGAGTGAGCCCTGTGCCAGGCTGAGGGCTTGGGGGGAGGTTTTTTCACAGGCTGGGCATGGGGAGTGACCGTTTGGTGGAACTTCCCCTTTAACCCAGCAGCAGTAGGGGGCGTGGAGGACCCCAGGGAGGAGCCTGCGAGGGGGTTTTGGGCTAGGTCGCCAGTTCCACAATGGGAGAGGGGGGAGGCCTCTCTCAGCCTTCTGAGGTCTAGGGGGCTGTGTGGGGGTTCTTCTGGCAGTAAAATGTCTAATGTCTGAGTATGGCTGTGGTTCAAGGATTTACAGGGTCTGGGATTTTAGTGTGTCGGACGTTTGTTCAGAGGCGTAATGTTCTGGAGATTTGGGACCAAGGGCACCCTGTCTTGGGGTCTCAGCCCTCATGTACCCTCAGCCCTCATGTACCCTCAGCCCTCCAGGTCCTGGCCACCTCCAGCAGGATAAGGAGGGAGGCTCAGAGTCACTCCGGAGGCCTGGTTGGCACTCAGGGGTGAACCCAGGCAACATGTTCCCCAGCCTGGGCCTCAGTTTCCCCAGGTATATAAGGACAGGGCTGACCTTGGATCCCCCAAACCCCTGCCTGAGAGGGGCCCGGGGTGCTGAGACATCTGAAACTAAACAGGGAGGTGTGGCTTAGTTCCACTCGGGGGAGAGGCAGGGATTATCCAACCCACCCCCCGCCCATTTAACAAGACTGGAAACTGAGGCCAGAGAGAGACATGCCAAGGGTTACACAGGGACTGCAAGGCTGAGCTGAAGCCAGGGCCCCGGGCTCTGCATCCCCCACCCCATTCCAGCCTCGACCTGCCCTGCCCCGACTTGCCCTTGCCAAGCCCCACCACGCGCCGTACCCCGTGGCTCCAGCAGACACCCCCCGTGTCCCAGGCACGCACGGCTCTTCCCTCAGCCTGGAACTACTCTCCTCTGACCACCGCTGTTCACTTCTCTGGGCAGCCTCCCAGGCTCCAGAAAACATCCCCTGTGTCAGCCTAATGCATTCTCTCCCCAGACCCAACCACGAGGGACAGCTGTGTGCAGCTCTGGGGACTCCCACACAGCGGGGCATAAGTGTTCTCCGTCCCTGACAGTGCCAGCCCAGCCCAGGGCCTTCAGGTCATCAGCTCAAGGCCCAGCAGGAAACAGCACGGGTCCTCCCATGCCTTGGCTGCAGGGCCTGGAAAGCTCAGACCTTCACACACTCTCCTGTCATTCCTGCACCAGCTCCTGCAGAATCTTCTGCCTCCTCCCCATTTTACAGATGAGGACACTGAGGGTTCAGCCGTGAATGATTTGCCCTGGCTGCTCAGCCCAGGGGGGAAAAACAAAACAAAACAAAACAAAAAACAAAACAACAACAAAAAAAAAAACACCACGTTTTCTGGACCCCCGGCCGCCTCCTTTTCTGTGCTGTGAGCCTGTTTCCAGAGCTTTAGAAAAGGCTGCACCAAGCTGCAGGTTTCGGCTCTGGGTGTTAAACCCTCAGGTAGCCTCCAGGGACCCATGGAGGATCCGGGACCCTGGAGAAGGGGACTCCTGGGATCCCTGGCCCTTCCCTCCTCTGGCCTTTGGCCCATGAGGGTGAATTAAGTGTGTGACTAACCAGGGGCAGAAACACATGGAGACAGAGATGGAGAGAGACTGAGGGAGACACAGAAATAGAGGAATGGAGAAAGAAACAGAGTTACAGGAGGACCTGACCCTCTTCTGGGGAGACCGGGAGAGATGTGGGGAGATGTGGGGTCCCAGGTGCTCCCCAGTGGGCTGCCTCTCTTCCCCTCCCCCCTGCTCAGCAGGCAGGACCCTCAGGGAGCTCCAGCCTGGACTCGAGCCCTGTCCCAACCTGACGCATCTGCTCAAGGCCAGGCTGGACCTGTGGGGAGGGGGCAGGCCTGGCCCCAGCCCAGCCACTATCCTGGGAACCCCTCCCCCGCCAAGATGCTGATGTAACATCCAGGATTTGATATTTTACTCTTAAATTCTGCAAATCCAGACGCAGGAGATTTTAAGAGGCCATTGCACCCTGCAATCAAGTGGGGGACATAGAGATCTTGGTCCTCGGGGCGCCCCCTTCCCTTGGGGGGTTTCAGCCCCCACCCCACACAGTCCCTTAGCCCGCGAGGAGGCCCGACGCCCTGCAGCCGCCGCCGGTCCCCGCCCCGGGCCGCCATTGGCTGTTGCCATGGCACCAGCCCGTCTTCCCGCGCCCTGATTGGCTGTCTCGCCCGCATCCCGCATCCCGCATCCTCCCCCCGCTGGCGGTGGTCTCGCCCAGCGGTAGGAGCAGCGGCGCTGCCTGTCCAGGCCCGGACCGGGCTTTGTCCGCCCCGGAGCCCCTGCCCGTGCCGCGGAGACCCCGGAGCCTGTGCTCCGAGGCCACCCCGGGCCGGGATTTCCGGTGGGGCCCGCGGAGCTGCGCAGAGGGAGGAGGCCCCACACCCGGGCGCCCCGCCACCCCAGCTGCAAGTAAGCGGGTGTGTGTCCTCGGGGTGGAGGGCAGGGGGCGCGAGCTCCGCCTCGCGTTGAGGTTTCCATTGCCCGTCAGCACAGACTCTGGGCCCTCCATTTCCCCAGGGTGGGAGCTGGAGGGGAAACTGAGTCCCGGTGAGTTGGGCGTCAGCGTCTCTGCATCCGGTCCTGCGCACACACCCACTCGTGGGCTTCAACACCCGGACCTCCAGGAGGTGATCGGAGGGAGGGATGGACAGCCCTCGGGACAGGCCTGCTGTGCGTCTTAGGGGGTGTTGCTGCACCTCTCTGGGCATCAGTTTCCCCCTCTGGAAAGAGGGGGTTTGGAATAAAGGAAGGAGAAGGGCCCCTTTGGGCCTGGCTTCCCACCCCTGGGCCTCCCTCCTCTGAAATGCAGCCACTCTCTTCTCAATACGACCAGCCCCCAGCCATGGTGCCTTCAGGGAGTGATCTCTCAGGAAGGCCCCCAGGAAGCTACACGATGCAACCTGGGCGTGAAAGGCAGGCAGGAGGGCTTCGTGGAAGAAGGTGTACTGTGTGGGATGGCAGGAGTTAGAAAAGGTGATCTGGCCAACTGCACATGCTAAAGCCTGTGAGAAGAGAACCTCCAGTTTCCAAGTGACTCGTGGTGTACATGGAGGAGTTAGAGTTTATCCTGAGGGTACTGGGGAGCCATGGGCGGTGTTTGAGCAGGGGAGTAATGAGATCTGACTTGTGACATTTCAGGCTCCCTCTGGCTGTGCACGAGGGATTGTGGGAGGCCAGGAAGAGGCTGATTGGAATGTCCTGACAGAGGGGTGTCAGGAGCTCGGGGAGGCACGATCCGCTGGGCAGAGGTTGGAGGGACCAGCTGTCTAATGAGGGCCCAGAAGTGACCACCAAGTGTGGGGAGAGGGAAGGTGTCCGGGGCTTGACTTGGGCCAGGTGAGAAGAGCCATGTAGGGGAGGCCTGGGTTTGGGGAGCAGGAGGGAGATGCATGTTGCTTTGCACTTCATCTGCTCTTTCTGCCTGGCTGGGCATGGCATGATGACCTCAGCTGGAACACGGGGCTCCAGTCAGACCCCAGGGTCTCCCTGCATATGGCCCCCAACCCCAGGCCTGATCCCCAGTGGAGACCCCAAGAGCCTTGGACATCATCGGATCAGGATGGGAGGTGACGGCTGTGGTCCTCAGGCTGCCAGCCTCTGCCACCTGATTTCCAGTCCCTGTGCCCCTCCCACCCTACCCTTGCCCACTTCTGCCCTGCGGGTTTCTCAGAGAGGCAGCCCGAGGCCGGAGGGGGGCGGGTGTCGAGGCCTCCAGCTTGGACTTCCAGCGCCTCCCAGGCAGGGTCTGGGTGCCAGTGATGTCATGTTCCCTTCCTTACTGGGTCAGTTTCCCAGGGCCTCGGTTTCTCCCTCTGGGAACAGCTGACTGGTGGTCCCTAAGACTCGGGACAGACCAGGAATGAGCCACATGACATGGTGAGGCACGCACTGGGTCCCCTGAGCAGGCGGGACAGCCTGACCCCGTCTTCCCACCTGGGACTGAGCCCCCTCCCCTACTCCTGTCCCAGCTGTGTCCCTGGTGACATCAAGGTGGGAGGGGAGGGGATGGGGGGCATCTGAGGGTCAGAGAATGAATGACAGGTGAATACATGTGTGTGGCCAGGTGGAGGAGGGAGGGGAGGAGCAGGTGGGCCAGCCAGGGCCGGTGTGAGGAGGGGGCTCAGGCTGGCAGGGGGAGGTGGCGGAGCATGGGCTGCCATTGGTGCATCTGAGACAAAGGCGGAGGGAGGAGGCGAGCGCTGATGGGAAAGGAACAAAGAGGGAAGGGGGGCGTGAGGGGGGCTCAGGCGGGAGGGCCGAGCCAAGGGAGGAGGCACTGGCCAGCTGGACAGAGGGAGGAGGCCAGGCTGGAGCCAGAAGGCAGAAGGCAGCCAGAGGCACAAAGAAGCTAGTAGCACTGGCGCAGCCAGGGGATGGCGCAGCCAGCCGGGGCCAGCTGAAGGCTGCACGGAGGGTTCGGGCCACGCAGGTAGCCACTCTGAGCCCAGCCGGCGATAGCGGGGGCGTGGGGCTGCTGGGGCGATGGTGGTGGGCTGGGGTTCCTTCGTCCGGCCGTTTCTGCACATCTTGGGTGTCACCCACTGACCTTCATGGTGTTTTTATTGTTCATCGGCAGGGCCCGCTGGTGGTCCGTCTGCCCAGTGTGTCTGGCTGTCAGCCTCTAGGCAGGCTGTGCTTTTGTGGGGGAGGGTCCTGTCTGTCTGTCTGTCGCCCTCTCTGGCTGTGAGCCTGGGGGTGCTGGGCTGGCCAGTCGGCCCACTAGGTTAGGCGGTCCCAGCTGTCTGTTTGTCGGGCGAGCTGTTAGGATGTCCTAGAGGCTGGGAAGGAGAGGCCGTCTGTCCGTCAGTTGGACGTTCAGGTGTCTGTATGTGGACCCTCTGTCTCCCATCCGGGCCACCTGTCTAACTTCACCTGCCCCTCTGTGCCCCGGATTCCCTGGACAGCACTGCCTGGGCCTGTACTGGTCCACACCAGTGACTCCTGCTTGGGAATCCCAACCCAGCATCAGGCAGGAGGGCTGGGCCTTAGGTCAGGGGCCATCCGGAAGGGATCACGGCACCCTCCCCCGACCCTCAGCTGAACCCTCTGACCCTGTGATTCCAGACACTGCAGGAGCTGAAGATGACGAGCTCCGTGGCGCCCTACGAGCAGCTGGTGCGGCAGGTGGAGGCCTTGAAGGCTGAGAACAGCCACCTGAGGCAGGAGCTCCGGGACAACTCCAGCCACCTGTCCAAGCTGCAGACAGAGACGTCGGGCATGAAGGTGGGGGCCTGCATGGAGGAGGTGGCTCGGGTCCCAGGGGGTGGCCTCCGGCAGCCCAGTGCAGTGGCCAATGCCTCCCCACCCTCTTTCCCTCCCCTGCAGGAGGTCTTGAAGCATCTACAGGGGAAGCTGGAGCAGGAGGCCCGAGTGCTGGTGTCCTCGGGACAGACGGAGGTGCTAGAGCAGCTGAAGGGTGAGTACTGGGGCCACGCCCGGAGGGAGCGAGGGAGGCTGGGGGGAGAGGCAGGCAGGGCCGCTGACCTCCGCCCTCTCTGCCCATCCAGCCCTGCAGATGGACATTACCAGCCTGTACAACCTCAAATTCCAGCCGCCTGCCCTGGGCCCGGAGCCTGCCGCCCGGACCCCCGAGGGCAGCCCGGTACATGGCTCCGGGCCCTCTAAGGACAGCTTTGGGGAGCTGAGCCGGGCCACCATCCGGCTGCTGGAAGAACTGGACCGGGAACGGTGAGTGCACGTGGGACCCGGGCCTTGGGCAGCCAGCGCACGACTCCGCCCCCGGTGGGCTCTGCCCTCTAATTCGTCCACTCGCATGTGGCTCCGCCCATACCCCACACGCCCCACCCACTCGCATATGGCACCGCCCACCGAACAAACCCCGCCCACCTCGAAGCCTCTTCCCCGCATGGCTCTCCGCCCCCTCTACGGTCGGGCTGACCGCAGCGGGAGTGCAGAGGATGGGGAGGTCCCTGGCTGAAAGAAAGGCTCCTTGGCGACGTCTCTAGGGGTCCGGGACACGCAGGCGTCGCTGGGGACCAGGCCGCGTCCAGTGCCAGGGTTCAGCCAGGCCTGGAGCCAGAGGGGCTCAAAGCAGTCTTTGTAGAGAGCTAGCTGTGACCCAAGAAAAGTGGGCTCAGGGCCAGCAGAGGGAGGCAGGGTCTGGGCACCCTGTGCTGCTCAGCCCGGTCGTGTGGGGTCGGACGCGGCCATTGCAAGAGCAGCATGGAGTTGTCTGTGCTCTGCTGTGGGATCTCAATCAGCTCCCCTAAACCCTCCCAGCCTGACTCCTGCCTGTAAAATGGGAGTGGCCGTGTCTCCCACGTTAAGGGACATCTCTGTTGCACCTGGGGCACTTTGAGCCTGAAGCTTCTTTGTAAGTTGGAGGGAGGTGAGCAAGTATGGGAAAAGTGTTCGAGGCAGAACAGGCTCCCTCAGTCTATCTTCAAGGATGAGAATTTCCAAAGGAATTGCTTTCTCCTTTTTTTTTTTTTTGAGACGGGGTTTTATTCTTGTTGCCCAGGCTGGAGTGCAATGGTGCAATCTTGGCTCACCACACCTCCGCCTCCCGCGTTCAAGCAATTCTCCCTCAGCCTCCCGAGTAGCTGGGATTACAGACATGAACCACCATGCCCGTCTGATTTTGTATTTTTAGTAGAGATGAGGTTTCTCTATGTTGGTCAGGCTGGTCTTGAACTCCCGACCTCAGGTGATCTGCCCACCTTGACCTCCCAAAGTGCTGGAATGACAGGCGTGAGCCACGGAGCCAGGCTGACCGGCTATTTAAAAAATTATTTTCTTTTTAGAGAGGGGGTCTGGCTGTGTTGCCCAGACTGCTTTCTCTCCTTTGAGTTAATTGTTTGCATCCGCCAGTTAATTTCAGCACCCCCGCTTACCCTAGCGTGGGGAGCGCCACGGGAAAGACATTGTCTTGCTGCCTGCTAGACTTGGCATACAGTGAGCGCCAACAAGTGATGACGAGCATCAAAATAAACAGCACATATACACGGGGCCGCCCTCCCTGACCTTCTCCCCAGGTGTTTCCTGCTGAATGAGATTGAGAAGGAGGAGAAGGAGAAGCTCTGGTACTACTGTCAGCTGCAGGGCCTGTCCAAGCGCCTGGACGAGCTGCCGCACGTGGAGACGGTGAGCAGGCTGGGGAGCCAGGGGGCAGCGCGCCCGACCCACCCCGGGCTTTGGGAAGTGGCGTGGGGAGGAACGCGACTCAGCCCCGGCGCCCCTCACCGTGGCCCTCCCGCTCTCCCCAGCAGTTCTCGATGCAGATGGACCTGATTCGGCAGCAGCTGGAGTTCGAGGCCCAACACATCCGCTCGCTGATGGAGGAGCGCTTTGGCACCTCGGACGAGATGGTGCAACGGGCGCAGGTGCGGCGGTAGGCGGGGTTCTGTGCCAGTGGGCGACTCGGAGTGCAGATTATCATGGGCGGGGGCTGGGGTAATGGGAGGAGTTTTAGGCCTCCTGGGTTGGAGGGGTCTGTTTCAGGAGGCGGGGCCAGAAGCTGGAGGTGTTGGTGGGTGCCCAGAGGCGGCTCAGGGCAGAGCCTGGGCACAAGGGTGGTGCGACGGGACAGTGGCTGGTGGCGTGGCCTGTGGGCAGGGCCAGATGGGTGGGGGGGTAGGTGGGGCCTAGAAGGACTAGGTCTAGGTTCTGGGTGGAGCCCAAGTGAGAAGTGGGAGGAGTCAGAGCCTGGGATGGGCTAGATAGGGTGGGAGCTAGAAGGATGAAGCAGGGATTTAGACGGTGGGTGGGGTCATATCTTAGGGGGCAGGGCTTAGGGTGCAGGCAGGGTTGGATCAGGGAGGAGGCAGAGTCAGTGTCCACGGCGAGGTCATCCCAGGAAGAGGCAGGGTCAGAGCTCAGGATGAAGTCATTCCAGCTGACATCATCCAAGGGAGTGGCAGGGTTGGGGCCCAGGGCAGGGTCATCCCAGAGAGCTGCGGTCAGAGCTCAGGGCGGGGGTCATCCCAGGCAGAGTCAGAGCCCAAAGTGGGGGTCATCCCAGGGAGAAGGTGGGATTTGAGTCGGGGGCGGGGTCATCCGAGGCCGAAGACCGGGTCAGAGGCGGGGGTGGGGGGCGGTCGTCCCAGGGAGAGGCAAGATCAGAGCCCAGGGTGGGGTCATCCCAGGGAGAAGGTGGGATCTGAGGCGGAGGCGGAGTCGGAGCCGGGCAGGGTCAGTCCCAGCCCTAGTCCTGACATTCTCCTGAGCAGATCCGCGCCTCGCGCCTGGAGCAGATTGACAAGGAGCTGCTGGAGGCACAGGACCGAGTGCAGCAGACGGAGCCCCAGGTACTGGGTGGGGCGGAGCCAGGGCCCAGGGATGGTGTCGGCCCAGACAGAATGGGACTCCTAGGGTCCTGCCTGCCCCCACCCACATCATGGGCGAGCAGCTGGCATCAGCAGATTGGGTGCTTTTTGGGGTGCTCTTGGACTGTACCCCTGAGCCTGGTGCTCTCCGGCAGGCCTTGCTGGCAGTGAAGTCGGTGGCGGTGGACGAGGACCCCGAGACAGAGGTCCCCACACACCCAGAGGATGGCACCCCTCAACCAGGCAACAGCAAGGTGAGGGGGAGGGTCAACCGTGAGGTGGGAGTCAGTTGTCTGGGTTGGGGAGGATCGGACCTGCGTCTCCGCCAGTTGTGGTGCCCTCCCATGCCTCCATCCAGTACCCCCTCAGGTGTAGGAAAGCCCCCCTGGAGTGCAGCTCATGGAGAAGCTGGGGGCCTGGCGAGGTGGATGGGGAAACGCGTCCCGTAGCTGGGGCCAGGGGGCACTGTAGATATCCCAGTAGAGCCCCTTGGCTGTGCACGGCCACCCTAGGAATGCCGGGTGAAGGGGGTTAGCCTCCTCCCTGGGCCCCGATCCGTCCCCTAGCTGTGCATGGGGCTGCCCTTGGTGTGGGGCAGGGACAGGGATCCGACCAGGTTTCCAGGTGTCCGGCGGCAGGTGAGGGACCCCACCCTGACCCTGACCCTCCCCTCCCCCCAGGTGGAGGTGGTCTTCTGGCTGTTGTCCATGTTGGCGACGCGCGACCAGGAGGATACGGCGCGCACGCTGCTGGCCATGTCCAGCTCGCCGGAGAGTTGCGTGGCCATGCGCCGCTCGGGCTGCCTGCCGCTGCTGCTGCAAATCCTCCACGGTACCGGCACCGAGGCCGGGGGTCGCGCCGGGGCTCCAGGGGCGCCGGGCGCCAAGGACGCACGCATGCGTGCCAACGCGGCGCTGCACAACATCGTCTTCTCGCAGCCGGACCAGGGCCTGGCGCGCAAGGAGATGCGCGTCCTGCACGTGCTGGAGCAGATCCGCGCCTACTGCGAGACGTGCTGGGACTGGCTGCAGGCCCGGGAGGGCGGGCCCGAGGGAGGCGGAGGCGGCGCCAGTGGCGGTGAGTGCCTGGGGTGGGTGTGGGGGTGGGGGTGCCTGCGCGGTTAACGCCAGCCAGGACTTCCCCTGGGGATGGGGCGCCTAAAACCTGCTGCCTACTGGAGTTGGAGGCGGTTGACGTCAAAGTTAACGTAGGGGCTGGGTGCTGGTATTGACTCTCACACCAGTAATCCCAGCACTTTGGGGGGCTGAAGCAGAATTGCTTGAGCCCGAGAACTGGAGGCTGCAGTGATCCGTGATCACGCCACTGCGCTCCAGCCTGGGCAACAGAGGGAGACCTTGTCTCATAATTTTGATTTTTTTAAAAAGGAAAGGGGCACAGCTGAAAGGTGTGCTCCAGGAACCGCCTCACGTCCCTTCCAAGCTGAGTGAAGGAGGCCACCCCTTCATCCCATCTGAGGCTGGGAAAAGAAGTCTCAGCTCCGCAGCCGTTTGCAAAGCTGTGGGATTCTTCAGGCTTGGGGGTGGGGACTTTTGGGAGTCACCTTGGGACACATCTCAGGAACAGGGGGTCTGATCTGGTCCCTTTCCCACAGCCCCGGTCCCCATCGAGCCGCAGATCTGCCAGGCCACCTGTGCGGTGATGAAGCTGTCCTTTGACGAGGAATACCGCCGTGCCATGAACGAGTTAGGTGAGTGCCCCCGCCCCTCTGGGGAGCCGTCCTCCAGGCCCCCAGCAGGTGGTGTCTCCTCAGCTGCTAAGGGACAGAGGCTGGGTCCTCTGAGCTTGTGGAGTCAGGGACAGACTCCCTGGAGTCACCCAGCACCTATTGTGAGTGGACCGTCATTCTGGGCCCTCTGTCCCCATGAGCTGCCTGTGGCCTCCCAGTTTGGTTCGAGGCCTCTGGGGGTGGCTTTCAGCCACAGTTTCCCTGGGGCTCAGAACAGGGAACAGCAAAGATACAAGATAGGCACAGAATCGGAGCTGTGGGTGGTGTTTTATGTTTGGGGACACATCTTTTTGTCAATATAACAGTAATCGAGGCAGGATAAGGCTGCTCACAACTGTAGTCCCAGCACTCTGGGAGGCTGAGGCAGGAGGATCACTTTAGCCCAGGAGTTTGAGACCAGGCTGGACAACATAGTAAGACCCCAGCACTATTAAAAAAACAACTAGTCCCAGCTACGAGGCTGAGGTGGGAGGATCTCTTGAGCTCCGGAGGTCAAAGGTGCCATGAGCTATGATCGTGCCACTACACTCCAGACTGGGCAACAGACGCAGACCCTGTCTCAAAAACAAAAAATCTTCAGGGCCATAACTTTTTTCCAAATATTTTTTAAATTTTATAGAGATGGGGGTTTCACCAAGTTGGCCAGGCTGTGCTCGAACTCCTGACCTCAGGTGATCCACCCGCCTCGGCCTCCCAAAAGTGCTAGGATTACAGGCGTGAGCCACTGCACCCGGCCAACTTTTGGTTTTTTTGGTTTTTTTTGAGACAGAGTCCCACTCTGTCGCCCAGACTAGAGTGCAATGGTGTGATCTCGGCTCACTGCAACCTCTGCCTCCCAGGTTCAAGCGGTACTCCTGCCTCAGCCTTCTGAGTAGCTGGGATTATAGGTGCACACCACCATGCCTGGCTAATTTTTGTAATTTTAGTAGAGACAGGGTTTTGCCAGGTTGGTCAGGCTGATCTCGAACTCCTGACCTCAGGTGATCTGCCCGCCTTGGCCTCCCAAAGTGCTGGGATCACAGGCGTGAGCCGCTGTGCCTGGTAACTTTTCGTCTTCACAAATTCAAACTCTGTCCTCATGAAATATTTGCTGCCCATCCTATCCCCAGGCCCTGGCAGTCCCCTGTCCCCGTGAATCTGATGGTTCCAGACCTCCTAGGGGTGGAATCACCCAGGATTGTCCGTTCATACCTGGCATCTCCCACTGAGCGTGACGTCCTCAAGGGGCACCCATGTCATAGTCTCTGTCAGAGCCTGGCTCCTTTTTTTTTTAAGACGGAGTCTCGCTCTGTCACCCAGGCTGGAGTGCAGTGGTGCGGTCTCAGCTCACTGTAACCTGTGCCTCCTGGGTCAAGCGATTCTCCTGCCTCAGCCTCCCAAAGTTCTGGAACTGCGGGTGGAATGGGCCGCTGCACCGGGCCAAAGCCTGGCTCCTTTCTGAGGCTGTGCGAAGTCCCACCGTGAGGATGGGCCACGCTGGACCGACACATTGTCCTCCGATGGACGGTCTGGTGGCTCCCAATCCTGGCTGCTGGGACTCGTGCTGTGTCAACACGGTGTACCCGTTTCACTCTGGAAGTTTTCTGACACGGCCCCTAACTCAGCTCCCCTAAGGGCATCTCCACTGACCCGCCCCTGGCCTGAGAACACATTTGCCTCCGTCTTCTTTGAAGGGGAGAAAAGTCACAGCCCTGTGCTGGGGACACAGCTCTCCATCTGATGGTCTTGCGGGGGATTATTGGAGGACTCCCCTAAGGCACCTATCACACAGGGCAGGGAAGAGCATTCCAGGCAGGGGGAGCAGCTGCAGAGGCCCAGCGGCTGGAGGAAGTGCGAGCCAGGCTGCGGGCTGCAGGTGGCAGTCACAGGGCAATGGGGGTACCCCTGTGGGTTTGGCAGCAGGTTGACACCATACCAGCTCCTGGAGGAGGGCTCAGAGTTGAGCCTGGAAGGGGGACTTGAGAGGGCAGGTCTGGGGGTAGGAAGGGCATCTGGGCAGGGGCACTAGGTGGGCACAGGCTGGGGGAAGCAAGTCAGGGTTGTCCCCGCTGTCTGCCAACCTCCCTGGGTCCCCACAGGCGGGCTGCAGGCCGTGGCCGAGCTGCTGCAGGTTGACTACGAGATGCACAAGATGACCCGGGACCCACTGAACCTGGCGCTGCGCCGCTACGCGGGCATGACCCTCACCAACCTCACCTTCGGGGACGTGGCCAACAAGGTGCCTGGGGCAGCGGGTGGATGGGGCTGGCTCGCTCCTCCTCCAGGCTTGCAGGGGTGAGCTGAGCCTCCTTCCAGCTCATCCTGGCCTTGAAACAGCCTGGGAGCTGGGGCCAGTTGTCCCCAACTTAGACAGGCAGACAGGCCCAGAGTGAGGTTGCGGGGGGGCGGCGGGAACCCATGCCGAACTTCCTCCGCCCAGCCATGTCCTCACAGCTGCCCTGCTGCTGCCTCTGTAGAAAACGGGCCTCGCCGGGCGCGGTGGCTCACGCCTGTAATCCCAGCACTTTGGG